TTCTAAGTACCTTGTTTTGGAAACGTTGTATTATCATTACATTGCTCTTACTTTTGCATCCCCATAACTGTAAACCATAACTCCATACAGGCTTTAAGATAACACTGAATTCTGCCGATTAACCGGTACTGCCTGCACGTTGCAAATATTTACAATATTTCTAAGTACCTTGTTTTGAAAACGTTGTATGTTATTATCATTACATTGCTCTTACTACTGCATCCCCATAACTGTATACCATAAGTCCATACAGGCTTTAAGATAACACTGAATTCTGCCGATTAACCATTTTATCTATTTATACTTTAGCTCAAGTTCTTGTTTTTTTCTTTTTCACATGCTCTTTCCAACGTAGTTTAGCGTCTAGGGTCATGCCTTAGTATTTCGTTGTATTCGCTCAGGGTATTCCAGTTCATTTATATTTAATTTGCAATAGGAGACCCTTTTATTCGTAAAGTAAACATGTACCGATTTTGTATTGTTAAACTTGAGTCGCCATTGTTTCGTCCAATGATATATATTATTAATGGCTACCTGGAGAGTTTTAGTTAATTCCATTTCATTTAGAACCAATTGAAACTAGAACTGTATGATCAGCAAACGCCACCATTTTACAATTTCAATATAATTAATAAACAAAAAAAGGGTATGGGGCCAAGAACGCTTCCCTGTGGAGCATTCGCTTTAATTTCTTTTAGGTTTGAGTAGCAGTCTTCTTGTTTACCTCAAAAATATCTGTTTGTTATATAAGATTTTATAAGATCACAATATTGTTCTGGCAATTGCATTCATAACACATTGTCAAATGCCTGCGAGATATCAAAGAACACTGCCACACACAATTTCTTCTTTTCCAAACAGTTTTCTATTATATTACTAATTCGATGGAATTGTTCAATTGCTGAATGGCTGGTTCTAAAGCCGAATTGATCATTTTTCTATAATATTTGGTAGTCGCTTTTTAGAAGGTTTTTTCAAAAACCTTTAATAAAAACCTCTATGAAGAAACTTCATATGCAGGTTTGCCAGGTTAGGCTACCATTATTACTTTAGCCACCTTCCAGAAGGATGGTACGTATCCCAGGTTAAAGCATGTATTGATAAGAAATGTCAGAACTTTATTGGCATTTTTTGGCAAATTCTTTAGGATCTAAGCTGTCAAGAGGTCAAATCCAGCAGCTTTTTGGGATTTTAAAGACTTAATGATGTCAATTATTTCCTGAGCAGGAGCTGGAATGATTTCAAATGAAATCATTTATTTACTGTGAGACGTAGTACGACACACTGGGTACAAATAGTTTAACAAATTTATTTCCATATTTAAATATATAAAATACATTATATTCTATATATATATATAAAATACATTTAATCATAATATATAAAAATATGGAAAGATATATATATAACCCCTTCGATGTTTAAAACACCACAACTGCAAACAAACGCCACAAATCCGCAAGTCACAAATCCTTGAACAATGTTCGACTTAAAACAAATAAATCTCGTAAAACTTACGTTCAGTTCGAATTATATTGTATTATAAATTTATAAAATATTTAAATATTTTTAATTAATAATATTATTTGTATCTTTATTAACATATATAAACTTTTAAGCACAATACAAACTTTTTTATAATCTATCATTAAAAGCATCAAATATTGCTATGCATTTTGTATGTCGTAATATACAAAATTTCCAATTGGGCACATTTGTTGTGTGGAACATAAGAAGTTGAAAGTCAAGTTGAACCAAATGCTTGAAGCGTTCAAGTTAAAATTGAAAGCACAAATTAAATGTTTTGATCGAAACGCTGCGGAATTGCGTTTATGATTTTAATTTCGCTTTCAGTTACTTTTCGCTGCTGAATTCGTTAGTTCGTGTTTTCTCCTTCGCGCAAAAATTTTAAATTATTATTTAATGTAGAAGATTTAATCCTTCT